CTCATAAAAATGTCACTAATTTAGCAGCCTCTCAAAGATAAAAATGTCACTAAAATGACGGCATTTCAGATATAAACGCTGCTAATATTGAGATGTTTTTTCCAAAACACCGCTATTTTTTACGATGCGTGTGTAACCTGCATTCTAACTGACATTTTTTGCAAACGCCGTAAATCTTTTAGTGACGTTTATAAAAGCCCTTAAATGTTAAAAAAAATATCACTAAAAACCAAAAGCCCTGTAATGTAATGACAATGATACTTTTGATCAGCAGCAAGGAATAATATTTGATAATGTTCTTCCGATGAGAAAATTCCAATCGACCTTGTCCACTGTAGTACCATATCACATGGCTTTTCAACAATATAAAATTTTTACACATTTTTCTAACATTTGATTTTAATAGGTCAAAAGAATAAAAGAAATAAGTAAAAATAAAAAAAAAATGGTTTAATCTCGTTTTTTGAATATACTGAAATCAATGATTAAAAAAATATGAAAAACAAAAAAAATTTTAGACTTTATAAATTGATCCCTCCTCATATATATTTATATATGTAAGTATGTATGTATGTATGTATGTATTTATATATATTTGATCTTCAATTGTATTCCTAGGCCCCTAGTTGAAAAAATGGGGTTCAATTTAGCAATCCTAGTGCTAACGACAATGATACTTTTGATCACCAGCAAGGAATAATATTTGATAATGTTCTTCCGATGAGAAAATTCCAATCGACCTTGTCCACAGTAATACCATATCACATGGCTTTCCAACAATATAAAATTGACGTGACCACTATGGACACAAGGGCATTACTTTCATATAATTCTAAACATTAATGTTCCCTGCTATAACCATATGATAGGATGAGTACTCCTGGTTTCATGTGACTAGAATAACAATAAAATTGCAGAATACATGCATGATTATAATCTAAATAAGTTGGGGTTGTTAGTAGTGGTTAATCAAAGTTTCGCTCTTCTTTTTAATAGTAGTGGTAGATTATTCGAAAAAAATTATAATTGTTATGTTCCAAATTCGAGGATTTAAATCATGGCAACACCACAATCCATAGGTTGAACAACAGGAACATGTAAGGATAAACAATATATTTCAAATACTAATTATTCCAAAATTTACATCGAAGTGTCATTAAAACCAAACTCAAGTTTTGAAAATTTCACTTACAAAAAGTTCTCAAACCGTAACCATAACAACCAAGTCTAAATGTTGGAGTCTAGCATATGACATTATCCTTGCCAAAGTGCACTCTTCCCAAACACAATGCTCAATACTCATTCTTCCATATATGTAAAAATTTTAATAAACGAGGAATTCAAAATCGCAATAAAAATAAAAAATATATCATATTTTTATTTTTTTAATAAATTATTTGAAAAGCTGAGCTGGAACTTTCCATGGGGGGATTGGACCAAGTCTAATGAAGATATTAATAAGCTTCAACTTGTCTAAGCCTAATCTGACTAAAAAATATGAGCCTCATTTTGGAATCCAAACTCGGCTCATTTCTAAGAGTAGTTGCCAAGCTCGCTTAAGCCCACGCAAATTTTAATTTTTTTTCAAATAAAAAAACAAAATAAAATTATAATAAATATTAACAATGTCGAAATAAATAATCTACCAGAATAAATTATAAAAAATAATTTTATTAATTGAATTTGGTGTTTGAATGAAATTGGTACATGTAAGCATAAAGTATTAAAGTGTAAACATATATTATTTAATTATTTAATTATGATATCGTAATTTTCAATTTACTTTATATATATATATATATATATATGAGAATGGATAAATTTATATAATGTAAAATTTTATAGTTTTCGATTATTGATTTTAATAAATTTAAAAAATAAGAGAGATAAATAAAAATTAAAAAAAGGTTTAATCTGATCAGGATATATTAAAATCAATTATTAAAATAATATATATATATATATATATATATATATATATATATATATAGACACACACACACACACACAGAGCACTGTCTAGATGGGAATTCAACTACAAAAAATTTATTTTCTAAAAAAACTACAAAAAGTTATGTCCTGATATTTATTTCCTAAAATTTCCTTTGTTTTAAAAAACGTAGCACGTTTTAGACTCCGTTTTATAGTTATTTCTTAATTTACTTTTTAAGTTCTTAAGTTGATAGAAAATTTGATAAAAATAAAATTTTAATTTTAGAACAAAAAATTTATAATGAATTAAAAATGAACAAATGGCATATACTGTATATATAACGTTAATTCCAATAGAATTATTTTATATAAAAAATAATAAGTTTGCATATATAAAATTAAAATGTAAAATTATAGATGTCCTATTTTCCAAAAAAAAAGATTTTTTGATTTTTTTTTTTTAAAAAATGACATAAGTAGGTTGTCACGCTATATCTTTTGCATAACACACAAAAGTTGTGAAATTACTAACAGATTATTGCTTCACAAAAGAAAAATTATACCATAGTAAAGTTATTAAAATAAGTTAGTGTAATAAAAGACAATTTTATAAAAATCAGACTACTTGTTTAATGATTATGTTACAAAGACGCTTAAATCTTGAATATCAATTAAAATATTTTAATTTATGCATAAATTATTTATAAATTATTTATATTTGTTAATCTATTGGGAAGGCAACCGCTTGCCACACTATTCTTTTTTTAATGGGCATACCAAAACTGTTTGGCGACTCATTTAACCAACTAGATTTTAAACCCGCAGTTTCATTTACGAAAGTAAAATACAATTGTTTATTAATTAAAATATTAAAAATTATCTAATAAAAAGAATTTTGTATCAATAGTTTTTTGTGGGTTTCATTAATTTAGACTGTAAATTATCAGAAAGTTGAAGCTATAATGTAACCATAACAAACATAAATTATGTCTAAGACAAGCCATATGTAATATATAATATTGTCTACTTAGATGCCTGATCATGAAGGTATTTGATTTGCATAAGAAGAGGTGTCTAAGGCAATGTCCAGCCAACTCTTCCCTGTTAAGATCTGCCTCCTTTATCCCACCAGGCAATTTCCAATCAAAGCAATACAACAAATTTGCCAGCAAAAGATCTGGTGTAACTGTTCCCATGTATAGCCCTGGGCAGCCTCTTCTGCCACCTCCAAATGGCAAAAACTCAAAATGTTGCCCTTTAAAATCAACGCTGCTATCAATAAACCTTTCTGGGGTGACTTCTTCTGGGTCTTTCTAGTACTTTGGATCCCTTGCAGTCGCTCAAACATTGATTTGGATAACTGTTTTAAGACAAATGTTGTAACCATTGATTTTGAAGTGTGACATGGCTTTTCTGGCAATCAGCAGTGGTGCAGGAGGATGCAATAGAATTTCTTTTATAACCATCTTGAGGTATTGAAACTGATCGAGATCGCTTTCTGTTACCCTTCATTTCTTTCCCACAATGCTTCGAACTTTATCTTTGTGCTTTTTTCATCAATCTTGGCTTTCTACACAGCTCTGCCATTGCCCAGTTCACAGTAAATGCGCTAGTGTCCACTCCGCCCAAAAACATGTTCGGTAAAGCAAGCATCAGTCAGAGCCAAGCGGAACAAAGCCTCTAATTAGTTTCATAGTAACAATAAAATAGGCATCGGAAAATAAAAAAGTTTCTATCAGTTTGTAACCAGAATATAAGAAATAGTTAATATTTCGAATTCACTGTTTTTGGTTGATGATGGATGCTATCAAATTGTGTATGGATTTCAACTGAAGCTCAATTTAAAAAAGATTACCAGAAAAAAAAAAAAAAAAGGGAAAACCAATAAGATAAGTGAAAGTATTTTGCATGAAATCAGGTCATTTAGTGACAAACCAGAGGAGATTTCACATTTCAGCAGGAACTTATAGCTGTCCTAACAAAGCCATTAGAAGGAAAAATACAGATGGACTAATCACAATTATAACCAGAAGCATATTTATGTTTTCTTGCTAGGCACTTAAAAACTATAACTTCCTCTCAAAGAGATGAGAGATATCACAATAACAGGAATGCGGCCAACTTTTTCTCCTCAGATTGATAGACTACATCAGAAACTTGTAAGCAAGCAAGACATTTCACAAGCCTCATATACCCAAACCAACTTAAGCTCATGAGACTTATCTAACCTAACATATGCACCTCTTCTCATCATACATTTCATTACTACCTTAATTAGTCAACTCAAATGGATTCAATTTTATTACACCGAACTCAGTTAGAAATTAACACGAGCCCTTATTTTAAAATAAAAAGAAAGAAGAAAGTTAACCAAAAGTTTTCCATGGCCGTCACAAAACCACAAAATAATTCTACAAAGGACACTGTAATCTATCATTTATCTACATTATGTATTACCAACGGTAAATAATAGCGGTTGAAAATTGAATTGAAAACTTTGTCAATTCCACCATCCTACGAAAGGATGCCTCTTCTAAAACTTGAATGCCATTATATTGCTATCACTAATTCATACTCAGGCCTAGAAGGCATATATTACCTTGTCACTTAGTGATTCTCTCAACCTCCTCAATGCTTCAAATTCACTACCTCTAAACGGAGTTAATTCATCTTGCACAAGGAATCCCTTTTTTATAAAGATTTCTTTAAAACAAAGCTACATTTCTGAAACATTGATAGCTCCATACTTGATCCTTTTCCACATACCCTAGTTCCTTTAGTGTTGGAACGTGTAAAATCTTACAACTTCCAACATCTTCAACAGGAGGAATTGAAGGAAGGTCAACCAAAAGTGGTGAAGATGCTCATGAGGGTTCCCCAGCAAGCTTTAAAAAGGACTGATAACTCAGTGGTGGCCTTCCCCCATTCTTTTTGTTGACATTAGTTGCATTAAGGAAAAGTAGCAATCAATTAGTAGACAATAAACAAGATCTTTGATAGCCAAAAAAATGACACCCTTGACACACCCAACTTCTTGCTTACCTTTTCTATAATATCTGCAAGATTGAAGAGTGTTTGACTCACTGGAGAGAAAACCTCGACTCCAGCTGTAGCAGCATGAGTCTGTTGAAACAAAAGGCAACATTTAATTTGATATACCACCAAAATTTAAGAATCTAAAGGAAAGCTAACATAATGTTCTTCCAAGAGAAAAAAATGTAGTCTTATCTTACCTTAACTTTATTATCCAAAGCTTGATAATATGGATCAGTGTCGTACTCAAAGCAAAGCTTTTTCACATCCCACTACCAAAAACCTATAAAACAAACAAACATTATTAAAAAAAATTAAAAAAAAGAAGACTTCACCCTATCTTAACTTTTAACCTAACAAATATATATAAATATATATTACGAAAGAGAAATCACCTTTTTTAAGCAGTGAATCAAAACCTAACTAGGATCATCCTTCAACAACAACAATCTCGACCTAAGTTTTTTCAAACTTAAGTCAAGGTCTTACAGGCTCTCCAACAAGAACTGGATTCTGTTTATACCCACCGATTCAATAAAAAGGGTTCCAGCCATCGATAACAGAAGAAAAATCACACCAGCCACGAGACGGTCATGATTTGGCCAAGTTTTGATTCTCTTCTTTGTTTTTGCTAATCCTTCATGAGCGGAGAAGTTTCTCGCTTGAAGTTTTAGAGAAGCTTACGGAGAAAGCTTGTTTTTTCTCAGCTCAGAGAAGCTTCTTGCGTGAAGTTGTTAGAGAAATTCTGAAAAAGCTCCTTTTCCATAATTATCCTTGGCTTGATTTTATTTACATTGCTTAACTTTTCCTACGGTATATATTAGAGACGGCTTTTATATATAATATAAATTGGTCAATCATAGTTACAGAGCAATTGCATCGTCACAGGTAATATGCCAATGTACATATTTTCTTTTCATAATTGAAAATTAGTTTTCTGTCAATAATTGAAAAGTATTCTAGTTCAATTGATTGATTTGGACTGAAGCAGCAACCTGTCATTCAGCTGTAATGTTTTATTTAGACTTGTCAATTCGAGTTTGTACTAAAAAAATTGGTCTAATCTGTCCAAAAAACAATATCATCATAAAAAGTTGATAAATTAAATCTATATAATCTGAAATTAAAAGTAATTTAAATTTAAAATAAATTAAAATTAAAATGATTCAAAAAATTATCTTAAAATAATTTAAGCTTAAATTAAATATAATTTTATTTTAAAAACATTAATTTAATAAAAATAATAAATATGGCACAAATTATTAATTATTTAATTTTATATTTTCAAATTATTTTTTAAAAACCTTTTCTTTATTATTACAAACTATTTCTATTATTTTAATATAATTGAATGTAATTTTTATATTTATTAAAAGATTATAAAAGAGTTTTATTTTCCTTTTTATTTTTTATAAATAATTAGATAAATTGATAACAATTTAATCATTTTAAAACAAAATAATTAACACTAATTTAATACAACTAATTATAACATTCACTTTTAAATATTTTACTATAAGTTTGTATAACAAAATCATTACTTTTAAAAAAATCTAAAAACCAAGAAATTTTCAGTTATCAATTAATCAAATATAAAATTAGAGCAATCATAATAAGCGGATAAAGGCAAAGTTATCAACCCTAAGGTCTAAGACTTATAAATATCTTGTATTCGAATTTTCTATTTTAAACTCATTAGTTAATAATTTTATTTTAATGACAATGCCGTAGGTATATGGCATATACACATAGACTATAGAGTATAGAGATATAGTCCCATTGGCAGAACAACTGGTCTGCTATTTAGGATCACGTGGTTCCAACCCACATTATATATTTGGTTATAAAATAAATTAAATTTGAGATGGATGTTGACATATTATTATATTTGCACTAAACAGTTTTTTGGCGGTATTTTTTTTAGGCGTTTTATTCACAAATGCCACGAGCTTCCGCCATTTAAAAATGATAGAGGCGTCACGGTAGTAAACGCTGCTAAATTTTAAAATAGTGACGTTTGTCAAAGTGAAGCTGCTATTTTTATAATTTTAGTTGTATTTGTGGGTAAAATCGTCATTTTATTTTCAAAATTATTTTTGTATTTGTAATTATAAACAAGTTACATTATAAAACACTAAAAAAATTTTCAAAAAATCTAATAATCGACCTCCTATTTCATTTATCTAGTTCCCACTCCTTTCTTTCTTTCCTTTATCCTCAGGTTTTCAGTCTTTCGTCCCTTCCGTTTCTCTCTTTTCCTTCCTTCACTTTGTCCTTTCTTCCCGATCATGTTGCTTTGAAATTTGAGATAGTTGTCAAGAAACATGCGTACGCTAATGATATCTTATCAATATATGGTATGTCTGGCCTCTCATCATTTTATTAATTATTCATTTGTAAAGCTGATGCGTTTCTTGCATCAAGCACATTGGCTTCTATATACTTGTATATTTATTAGACAATTGAAATATTTAGATATTTTATAATATTTAATTAACGAAATTAAATTTTGTGTGTTTTTATAATATGTTTCAATTTTAAATGTAATTGTAATAAAAATAAAAAATTTTATTTATCTCAAATGTTATGTTTTGCAACTACATATATAAAAATTGATATTCATAATTTAGTTGTATTTAATTAGATAAATGCTGTTAAATATTGTATTTAATGATTTTTTTAATAAATGCTGTCAAATTGAAATATTTAATGACATTTATCCAAGAAAATGCTGATAAGAGTTGCAAAATAGCTGAGTTTCTTATTACAAATGCCATTAAATATGCAAAAATCTTATTATCTCAATTTTTATGTCCAAAGCGTTTATAAAACCGCTGCTAATTATAAAAAATGACGTTAAGAAAAACGTCATTTAGAAGTCTAATTTTCTGTAATTATAATTGATTTATTAGGTAATATTTTGTTTTAATAATAATATATTCATCATATGATTCATATCATAATTTATATAGATGATTCATGTGGCATATTAGTTTATTACATTTATATGGCTCATGGTTGGTAATTTGGTGGTTAGTCCTACTAATGTTCGGCTTAAGAAAATTGATAATCTTTGACAGTTTGAAACTCTTTGGTCAGAATTTAAATTTTAGATGATTTTGTTGGATTTGATTAAAAGTGATCAAAAAACTACAATAAAATATTAAGAGAAAATATTTTAATTTAATAAAAAAATAAAATCACATATTTTTCATTAATATAAAAAAAAACTTTAATTTAAAGCATATGAATTACATTATAACAATGTTTATATTTATTTTTAAATATTATATTTTTTATTTTTTATTTTTAATAAAATTTTAATAAAATTTGACTTAAACTCGATCAAGTAATTTTTTTAAATTTAATATGATTTAATTATAAAATATTTAAAAATTAAGCTCAAAATTATCCAAATTGAATGACCTAAACTCAAACAATCTGAATGCCAAACTCTAAATACCCGAATAAAAAATGGCTCAAACCAGAAACGACTCAAAACTAAAATAAACCTTAATGAATTAATTTGAAACTAAAATAACATGAACTCAAAATTATCTAATTTTTTTAATGTTTGAAATATTTCAAATTAAATTGTTCCGAACTAAACCTAATCCAATCTGCCTAATTGACAGGAATAGACTTTTGATTATTATTTAAAAAAAAAGGCATATTTACGTTGTCACATAAATGTTGATTGCATCCTTTTCAAATACAGTTGTTTTTATTTTTTTAACAATTTTCTGTTTGCTACTGTCATTTTCTTGGTATCACTTTTTCATTTCTAATTATAAAATTATAGTTTTCATTTAGTGTTAGATAAATTATTTCCTAGCTTAAGATTTATATTTTGGAGCGAAAAGAGTTTTTGGGAACTCAACTTAATAAATTGGTGTCCCGATAACTAATACGATATTATCTATGGTTCAAGGGAAACTTCGTGATCCTCCCCTTCAACACTGAAGATCCTCCTCTTCCGTGGAAACAACGGCTAGAAAATTGTATTGTTGGCGCATATCTATCTGTACTCAGGTGCGAATCACACAATCGTTCATGGAGGCGTGAACACAACAAATATGTCGTTCAATGAGAAATTGGTGGCTAAGGTTTCGGATTTTGGGTTGTCTAGAATAGGCGCCAC